AGCAGAGAGAGAGGGAGACACAGAATCGGAAACAGGCTCCAAGCCATCCGCCCAGAGCCCGACGCGGGGCTCGAACTCCCGGACCGCGAGATCGTGACCTGGCTGAAGTCGGACGCTTAACCGACTGCGCCACCCAGGCGCCCCTAGAACATTTTAAATTACACATGTGGATAGCCTTGTATTTCTACTGAGAGTGCTGCCTTTTCAAACACAGCACATTCTCTCAACCTCCTGAACAATCCCACAGTGTCCTCACAGTGACGGAAGCTTTCTCAGAAATACTAAAGGGTAGCAACTACCATGCTTTGGACGTTTGCTCTGTGCTTCACCTTCAGAGACCCCCCCACCACCCTCCTCGGTTGCATCCGTCAGGCCTGGATTTCCACATTGTGCTGACCTGGTTAGCACCAGGGATCTGACCGGGGGGAACCCCCTCCTCAGGCACACGGAAGTTTACACTTCAGAATGTGGGCTGAGTTAATGGCAGGGTTGCGGCAGGTTGGAGAGGTACACGTGGCCCCAGGATGCTGGCAGTGTGAGTGCTTGTGAGATTTGGGAGCCATGAGCCCCGTCTCATGCCTGTCTGCAGTGTCCTTTTCGGGAGCATGGGGCTTCTATCCATCTTCTCTGCCACTCTGCAAATTTGATCAAACCCCTACTGCTTCAAAGACTCATTTTTAGGACTAAGTTTAGCAAAGCACTTGCCCACTATTCCCTGTTACTCTCACGTTCTACTTTCAGGACATCAGAACGATATTTTATTCTGACAATGTCCAAATATATGGTCAGAATTCATTCATTTACTCAATTGTGCCAGCCACTAAACTAGGTACTATGAATACAGCAGTCAATCAGGCAAGAACCCTATGGTCCAAACTCCCTGCAATCAGCATGAGCTCTTGCTAATAACAGCTGCTCACGTGGAAGAGCAACCATTTCTATAAGTTAATGACAAATCAGTGGCAAAAACAGAATAAAGAGAAAAGCAAAACAAGTGAGTGAATGTTATTTCCCAAATTTCAGGCTGCTCTTGGAAGTGATTCCAAGCCCTACGGAGTCAGAATTTGAGCTCCGCGCCACGAGGGGGCGCGGCAGGGCCGTTTGCGCGAGATCCGCCTCCCGGAAACGCCGCTCTAGGACGCCACCCGCGCTCCAGCTGCATTTCCGCCGGCGCTGGGCAGAAGAGGAGCTTCCTGCTGCTGTGGTCGCCCAGTCGGTTCTCCCAAGCCGTCCACGCCGCCGGTTTCCATCTCCCACAATCCTCAGACATCCGCAGCTTCCCGCACTGTCGGCTGTATCTGCGGCCGCTGTCCCGCGCCATAGGTCGCGGCTGCCCGGGGTGAGTCCACTGTGGGGATCGCTGGGCGCGTGGTCTGCCCCCCACCACCTTTCGGGGAAACTGAGGCCCGAGGAGTCGGGGAGAGCCGGCGGAGGTCAGCCGCGGTTCCAGGCCTCGCCCCTGGTTTCGGGCCCAGCTCCTCCACCGAGAGGTCGGTGCGGACCTCTCAGGATGCGTGTCCCGGGTCGGATCGCTCGCCCTCAGCCCCCCTCACCCCTCCGCCGGGAAGACTCGAGTCCCGCCAACTACCAGAAGCGGGTCCGGCGACGCGCAGACCGAGTGCCGCCGCCAGTGGTGCGGAGCCCCGTGTGGCCCCGGGCCTGAAGAGCTCCCGGGGCCGCGTGATTTTCACGCACACACCCACCTCCGGCTCTGGGCCTCGAATCCCCCAAAGCGCTTCATCGGTTGCCCACGAAGTGACCA